AAACTGTCTGTTCTTAGTGCAGACATGACCTTTGCCTTGGAGTTTATCAACAAACAAGGGCTGACATTGATAATAAAGCAAATTGAAAAGGGCACTTGCAAAGGAACAGTGCTAGCACACACTTTGCTGTCCTTTGTGGAGCTTATGGAGCCTGGAATAGTGTCTTGGGATGTGCTAAATGGCGAATTTATCACCCGAGTGGCTAATTTGGTTAATACCGCACAGGAAGCTCAAGTGACCCAAGCAGCCCTGTCAATTTTGGAAAATGTGATTCTTAATAGCACTGAAGGCTACAGCCAGGTATGATTGTCGTACGGGTCTCTTATGGGGAAAAATACTTATGTAAACCGTTTAGGTTGAAAGGGAAATTCCTATCACATCGCTTATGACGCACCTTCAAGCAGCTTCAGTGGTTCAGCAGAATGCTGTTGCCCTTATCAATGCCCTGCTTTCTAGAGCTGATGTCACTAAAAGGAGATCATTGGGTATGATCCGTTTAGATCCATACCACCACTAAGCACGTACAATTTTTGCCGTCTTAACTGTTTACAGCACAAACGTTGACGTCGAAACAAGTGAGAACAGTTATCCAGAACAATATATTGCAGACAGGGGCTTCCAGTGGTGCAGAAATGGCTCATCAGCTGTATGTTTTACAAACTCTGATGTTGGGACTTTTGGAACAGAGGATGTTGACGAAAATGGACCCACAGGTGCCCCTTTCACGTCTCCAAATTGATCTTGGATGATCGAACATTTTTTTTAGGATCAAGACGGTCACGACAAAATCAAAGAACTCAGACGGATTGCATTTGACAGCGAGGGTGCAGGCAGTTTGCGTGGAGTGCAAGGTTTTACAAGAGACTACAAGAAATTGGGCTTCAAAAATGATATCAATCCAGCCCTTGATTTCACCGAAACACCGCCAGGTCGGTCCGTGGTCTTTCGGATTTCTCTATTTATCAATCAAAATACGTTTCGGTGTATTTTTCCACCATCATCAGTTTTTATGTGTAGCGTTGTTGCTGCTTTAAGCCTTGGCATGC